AGTGGGGGTAGGGCCGAACTTTCCAACACTTCTCCGGAGGGGAGGTTGGCCCGCATCCTGAAGCTGCCTGCGGGCCCACCAGGAGAACCCTCATTAGCATAAACTCAGGTGGGGTTGAAAGGACTTTCCTAAGAATGACAAAAGGCACTCTTATCACTTAGGAAATTCCAAGGCTTTTAGGAGCACTGTGCCGAGAACTGAGGACAAAGACCACACAGTTTTTTTTTTTTATTTTTTATTTTATTTTTTATTTTTTTAAAGATTTTATTTATTTATTTGACAGAGAGATCACAAGTAGGCAGAGAGGCAGGCAGAGAGAGAGGAGGAAGCAGGCTCCCTGCTGAGTAGAGAGCCCGATGCGGGGCTCGATCCCAGGATTCTGAGATCATGACCTGAGCCGAAGGCAGCGGCTTAACCCACTGAGCCACCCAGGCACCCCAAGACCACACAGTTTTAATCATGCCACAGGTCCCCTGATGTTGTTCTTGCTTAAATAGCATAGTTTTCAGAGCTGGAAAGAGGAGGGTGAGGGACGCGGGACCTTGTCCATAAGGCTGGTGTTTCCATGGCCTCCCTGTGAGCTTCGACGTTGTCTCTTGTTTTCATCCCGAGGGTAGTTGTCCTCCCAACATCCCAGGGGCTTTTCCGCCCCTTACCCCTTTCCCCCCCAAGAGTCTTTTCTTTCCAGTCCCAGTATGTCTTCGGAACCGTCCTACCCGCTCCCAACAAGGAAAGGCCCTAGGGCTGTGGGCCCTTTCCTTCTTTCTTAATGTTTTCCTTCCTTCTACTTCAACAGGAACCAGACTGAGTCTTTCTGGCTCTCGCTGCCCTGGGGTGCGGTCAGTGTGGTGTCGGTTCCTTGCCAGGTTGTTGGGCAGGGAGGATCTGCTGTCTGAGGTCTTGATAGTAACACTCAGCAGAGGGGGAGACACCTGCTTCCCTGTTAGTGCTGAAGGAACGCAGCCCAGACTCACCTGCAGCCCCCCACCTCCTCTCTGACCGTCCCTCTCCTCACTCCTCTGCTGTCCAGTCACTGGCAGCTTGGCGCTAGGGTCATTGTCCTCCCAACACCCAGGGGCTTTTCCACCTCTTACCCCTTTCCCCACCAAGATCAGCTTCTCTGCATATTTTCTCTCAGTCACAATTATTGGCTTGCTCTTTCTGCCATTCTCTGTGCTGGACACCAAGGGAGCTCAGAAGAAGGAGGCCTGAGCTTTGCCCTCAAGGTACTGGCTCTTTTCTTCCTTTGTAGCAGTGGTCAGGCCTTCCCTCAGGCATCCCTCACCACCCTCAACTGCAGGCGTACCTCCTCCCAGCCTCTCACCCACTTGGCATCTGGCACCACTTCCTTGTCTTGACATCCCTTCAGGCTTCCATGTCTCCCTGGCTAGATGCTTGGTGGACTTCCTCCGTTCACACCCACGGACTTGTGTCTGCCACAGAAGAGGGCCCTGAGGCTCTCCCTGGTGAGTCAGGTGGGTGAGGAGGAAGAATGCGTACAACAGGTACACAGGAGGGCAGATGTTACAAAGGGAACAAACAGTTCCTGAGGTGGGGCAGTGGTGTGCTGGTCTGATGGTGTGTCTGAGGAACCTCTTGCTCCTTGAACCCTGGAGGTCACACAAGGTCAGGTCCTGAGTCATACAGAGCTCCTTACATTGAAAAATGAGAGGACAACACACACTAATTGAGAAATTTTAAACTGCCTGTTGCATTTATTTCCACTTTCTTTTTCCTAAGGATTTTATTTATTTATTTGACAGAGGGAGAGAGATCACAAGTAGGCAAAGAGGCAGGGAGGGGGTGGGGAGGAAGCAGGCTCCCTGCTGAGCAGAGAGCCTGATGCGGGGCTTGATCCCAGGACCCTGAGATCATGACCTGAGCCGAAGGCAGAGGCTTAACCCACTGAGCCAGCCAGGTGCCCTTATTTCCACGTTTTAATACAAGCTATAGACTCTTTATATAGAAGGTATCGCTGGTTGGAAAGAGGGTTGGGGAGCCCAAGACAGAGAAGCCTCACTCAGCCACCCTAGGGAATGGGGGAGCTGAGGGGAGGCATCCCCTCCCAGTGACCATTGGCCAAGAATGGCTCCACTCTCATGGCCTTTTCTGCCCTGGTCCATTCTGGTTCCATGTGAACTTGGGAGCTGAGTTGGCAGCATCACTGTACTTAACCAGTGAGCCTGGGTGCCTCTGGGAGGTGCCTGTCTGGAGCGTTACCAGCAGAACAAGGGCCCCGTTTGTGGAGTGTTCTCTCTGAGTCAAGAATCCTGCTGACAGCTTTACATACAAAAGTCACCTCACTCTTAGCCCTTACAAAAGGTTGCAAGGTGGTGTCAGGAGTGTGATGCAGTAAACTGGTGAGGACCCTTGTGCTTGGCAGGGTTACTGAACTGCCCAGGGGGGTCACTGCTAGAGGGAGGCAGAAGTGTATCCAAATTCAGCTCTGTCATATTCCAGAGCCCCTAGGGCTGATGACCATGTGACCCTCTGCTACCTGGAATCCTTAGAATGTTCTGGATGGCCTTCCGCGTGGAGGACATAAGTTAATTCCGTGGAATAATGCTCTGAGGCCAAGCAGGTAGTGTTAATTCTGGAGGCAGTGACTTGTCTGAGGTTATGTGGACAGCGCAGGGCAGACTTTCAACAGTTCCCCTTACAGTGTATACTGGGAGATTGTAGTGAATGCTGGTCATGCTGGGGTTGGAGGGTAGAGGGCTGGGTGGTTACCCTGAGGGAGGGGTAGCCTGGTTCTTAGCAATCTAGAAGAAAGAGTGCAGCCCAGACCCACAGATAAGGGTTCTGTCTCTCCAATCTCCCATTTTCCTCATCTAAAGAATGGCCCTAATAGTAATGTCCACCTTACAGGAAGAAATGGCAGAAGTAACCAGCTTGGTCAGGAGGGAATAGGCTATAGTCAAAGCAAGTCACAGGCCAGCCACATTCTGATGCTACTGTTCAGGTCACCATTTCTAACAGACACCTGCTGCAGGCCCAGCCTCAGTGCTGGTGGTGCACCAGGTATAAGCAATGATCCAGAAGAGCGATTCAGACAGGCCTGGCCTTGGCCTCCAAGACTTAGGATGGAAGTTGGGAGGAGAACTACAGCTCTGATTCAGTCATAACACTGCAGGTAGGCTAAGGGATGGAAATGTTTGTGGGACGGTGTCTCTGAACATAAGGATCAAGTTCAATTTCTGGTGGTGACAATGGGGCGGAGGGGGTTGCTAGTGATGTAGATGGAGGGGGAAGGGAGGCTGTGCCAGGCTTGTTGCACGGAGATGGGATTTCAGGAGCTTAGAGAGCTGAGCACGCCCTGCACTAGAGATTCTGGGAGACCATTCCATATCTCTACAGCACTGATGAGATAATATTGTCAAGGAGTAGTTTTAAAACCGAAGGTATTAATCCACATTTACTCTTTACTTCAAGATTGATAGGTGTGATCTTCACAGTGAAATTTTCTCTTTTTGTACTGAAAGAGCCTGGGCTCTTATCACTACTCAACTTCTCAAATTCCTTGAGGACTACGGTAGCACGGAAAAAAGTGAACAAAGGGATGAACAAGTGGGTGAAATATACATAGACAAAATGTGTATCATGCACATGGTGTAATTTCAGTGAGTTTCAAAGAGATGGGTGGTGGTAGAGGTTGGGAGAGCAAGGCTTAGAGCTGGACTGTTTGTGCTGGAGTCCCATCCTGCCACTCCTGATGTGTGACCTTGGGTGGGTCACTTTAACCATTCCGGGCCTCAGTTTCCATTTTTGTCACCTGGGGCTGGTAATGGTACTGAGCTTATAGGGTTGTTGTGGCAAATAAATGAATAAATCCATTTAAACCCATGCTACAGTGCCTGGCACACAGTGGGCATTCAAAAAAAAAGTTGGCTAGTAATATAAAATTATTTTATCAATGTATTCGTTTAGTCGTGGATGGAAAACTCCCATGCTTGTGGGCAGTCAGCATCAATGAGTGAACTGGGGCAGAAGAAGCACCTGGTATGAAGGGGAGACTGACGTGAAGGTGGACATGGGGCCAGTGCTGTGACTTCCATAACCTCCTCTTGGGTAGTGTTACCCCAGGTGCCAGCACGGCTCCTGAAAAAGTAAAGACCTCTTACATTTTCTCCTCAAGCTCTTATTTATTTATTCATTTACTTCTCAAAACCCTGCCTTTGGGAGCACCAGCTAGAGCTCAAGTTGCGTTTTTGTTCTCCGTGCCCTCTGAGCCCTGTACCGGCCAGGTGGCCGGCGCCCACTTCACCTTTCCTCCAGGTCCCGCGTACAGCACGTTCCTTTCCATCACAGACCTGAAGGAAGGGCCTCGCGAACTCAGAGCACCGGGCGCGTCCCGCTTCCCACGGTGAAGTGCAAAAGAGAGGAGTGACTCTGCAGAGGTGGAATTTGGGACGTCTGCAACGCGCGGAGGGGCGGAGCGGGCACTCCCGGCGGACCCAGTCTCACCAGCAGGTGGCGGTCTATCGGCCAGGCCGGCAAGGTAACCGACCAGAAACTTGAACGGGATGCTGATGCCTTCGCCAAGACAAGCACAGCGGAGTCTCCTCGAGCCGAGCTGTCGACATCCGCGAAAAAGTGGGGAGAGAAGAGAGCGGACTCCTTGCTGGAGTCACTCAAGGATTCGGACACTTACGAGCTTCATTCGGGAAGGGTTCAGAAGGGGTGAGTACTGAGAAGCGCGCGGAAAAGGGAGTATTGTCCTTCTCTTAGGGCATTGTCCTTGGCTTGCACTGACTGATTTCCAGTCCTCTGGGAAGGGTGTTTCTGGAAGGGAACTCCCTGATCAGATGGATGAGCGCGGGAAAGAAGCCCGGGAAGCTGGTGCCCGCGCACCAGGCGCTCTGCAGCGGGAGGAGCGCGGATTCCTTTACGCTAGATGGCGCTCTCTGGATTTCCCGTGGCTTCCCGCTCCAGTCCCTGGAGGCTGCCGCCGCAGCGGCCGCTCTAGCCGACCCGTGCGGGCTCTGTGGTTCCGGGCGGAAGTGAGGCGCCGAGCGGAACGGCCTCTGGTGACATTTTCTCCGGGCGGCGCGGACGAGTGAAGGGACTTGGTGGTGAAGGCTGTGGAGGTGGCGAAATTCGCTTTAGCTTCGGCGGGGCTTTGACCGCGACCCTCTGCTCGCCGCTGGGGCTTCTGCTGAAGAGGAGAAGGCGGCGGTGGCCGTCGCGTCCCGAGTCACCGCGGCCGGGGGAGTCCCGGCCGGGGGGTCGGTCAGTGCCCCGACGGGGCGCGCGGAGCGGGCGAGGAGGTGCAGAGCTGCCGCGGAGCTCAGGTGAGCCGGGAAGGTGCGCAGGGCTGGGGCCCGGCTGCGTCCTCGGGAGGGGTCAGGTTTGGTCGGAGGGGTACGGGCCGCGGGTGTAGGCTCTGCGGCGCCGGTGCTGCGGGGTCGTGACGGGCCCGGCCGGCGGGCGCAGAATGTTCGCGCCCGGACTTGGCGGGAGGCACGGCCCGGGTGGGGGCCCCCGACAAGAGCGGAATCGCTGGACGCCTTGTTCGTCCGCCCGCTGGTGACCCTCAGGTCCTCCCAGCCCGGGCGAACTGGCGGGCCGAGCTCCCTCTCCTCTTCCCCCGGCCGCGCGGGTCCCTCTCTCTGGGGGCTGAGAGGAGGCTGGTGGTGCCGCTGCCCGCGGGCCGCGCGGGAGAGCGGCTTTTCGGCCCTGGAGTTGTCTTCATGCAACTTTCCGGCGCCCCAGCCCACGGGAGAAGCGGCGGCAGCAGCCCTGCCAACTCTGCCAGCTCCGCGAGCTGGGATCTGGCGCCGACACCTGCCACTGCTCCCGGGAGCCCGGGCGGCCGCCCCAGTGCCGCGGTTGCCGGGGCTTTGGGAGGAGGGAGAAAAGGCTTCCTTTGGCTGGCGCCGCCTGCCTCTCGGTGCTTCCACCACCTTCGGTCGGCAGACGCCGCCAGTCGATGGGAGGGATGTGTCAGCCTCCAAAATTGACCTCTTCTGGAGAGTTTGTCAACTTTATGTAGAAAATAGGCGCAGATGCAAACTGACGGGCCCCAAGTTAAAGATCATTGTCTTCTTTGACTCTTCCCGGGGAGTTTTCACTTCTCCCCAGTAGCACTCCATGCTTTAGAACTTATTTCTTACAGCACCGACCTCAGTTTATTGTTGGGGCCGCAGCTCCCACGAGAAACCGCAGGTCATTCATTCTCTCTTTTAAGTCCTCCTCTCCACTGTCGCGGAATAGAGGCTCGCAGGTTGAACGAATGAACCTCTCTCTCTACTTGTTCTTCCAGATCGAACCGCCTGAGCAGTTTATGCTTAGATGTGCTTTTCATTTCTTGACTGAGCTTTTGCTTTCTGAATCCATCCACCCAGTAGGATGAAAATCCCACTAATGATGCTTTGTCAAGGTTGGACCTCTTAATTACAAATACATCTGGCAGTTTTGCTTAGGCTATTATTGTGTAGTGTCGTTGGGCACATGCTAACAGTTTGAATCACTTCCTTTCTTCTCCTGGGATATTTTAAGGATGGAGGCTATTAACTTTCTAATGTAGTTTTGCTGATGCAGGCAATCTGGATTCCTCCAGTAAGAGCATTGCCTTTTGGTTTAACAAGCATTTTTAGAGGCTTACAATTGATAGTTATTACCTGATGTCCTGAGGAGTCACAACGCTAACCGTTTGTTAGTGGGAAGTGTAATATTTTGGCTGTCTAATCTGGCCAATACAATGCTTCATTTAGTGCTTTATGCACAGTAGGTGCTCAGTAAATATAAAATTAAGTTAAGTTTTAATTTAGGAAACTAAGATGGAATTTACTGCAATGACCTAAGCTGCTTTAAAAAGAATCTTATTGAAATTTCATGCAGTTCCATTGAGAAATAAAAAATTTTTAGCCATTTTTTTTTTAAGATTTTATTTATTTATTTGACAGAGATCACAAGTAGGCAGAGAGGCAGGCAGAGAGAGAGAGGAGGAAGCAGGCTCCCTGCTGAGCAGAGAGACCGATGCGGGGCTCGATCCCAGAACCCTGGGATCATGACCTGAGTGAGCTGAAGGCAGAGGCTTTAACCCACCGAGCCACCCAGGCACCCCATTTTTAGCCATTTTTAAATCAGAGTGCTTTTCAGTATCACTGTACTCTTAAAACTTCAAACCATGTTTATTTTTCGTAATAACATTTTGTAGATACAAACTTCAAAATAAGTGGAGTGCCTGGGTGGCTCAGTTGTTAAGCGTCTGCCTTTGGCTCAGGTCCTGATGGATCGAGCCCCATATTGGGCTCCCTGTTCCGCGGGAAGCTTGCTTCTCCTTCTCCCACTCCCCCTGGTTGTGTTCCCTCTCTCGTGTCTTTCCCTGTCAAATGAATAAATTAAATCTTTAAAAAAAAAAGCTTCAGTATAGGTGTGTGCAATATGAAAGGCAGAGAGAAACTTCAAGGTAATTATACCTAAAGCGTCAGCTAAGTGATTTCTTTCTTTTTGTTTTTTTTAAATTTCTTTAAAGATTTTATTTATTTGAGAGAGAGAGAGAGAGATCACAAGTAGGCAGAGAGGCAGGCAGAGAGAGAGGGGGAAGCAGGCTGCCTGCTGAGCAGAGAGCCTGATGCTGGGATCATGACCTGAGCCGAAGGCAGAGGCTTTAACCCACTGAGCCCACCCAGGCGCCCCCAGCTAAATGATTTCTTAACGAAAAAATTTTTCTGATATCGTTTTGTGAAAAAGGAGTGGAGCTGGAGACTTTCCTCAGTGCTAGCTTCATATTAAGTTCACAGTGTAGTTGTTATATTACTCACTAATTTATTTTATATTTACTCTTAAGTGCATTTATGAAAGTGTCCTAATACTCTTTGTCTTGTACTCTTTGTGATTAATCCAAGATCTGTATATTAAAAATAAATTCAGCTTAAATTTTAATTTAATGTAGTTCTTTTGGAACTGAGTGCTTGGTATATGTCCTTGAAAGATTTTATTTTGTTAGTGACATTGATTGGTATCTTAAGTCTCGTTACTATATGACTAGTAACTTCTCCAGGATTGTGTAACTTGTAAACTCATTATTCAAAACATTCCCATGTTTTGCTGGGATCTTCAATCTTAAGAGTTTTGTTCTGACATCTACATGAGTAAACTCGATGTATATGCAGTTAGAATGGTTTTGTTTTTGTTTTTTATTTTTTTTTTAAAGTTTGGTACTGGTATATATTAGAGACTCAAACCCTGTGTAATTTTGGTGAATCATCTTAGACCTTCCTGTAAAACATTAAAAATGTTCTACCTTTTTAAAAATTTATTTATTTGACAGAGAGAGGGAGAGAGAGAACGTGAGTGTGTGTGCGCCCACACCACGAGCAGCAGGAGGGGCAGAGGGAGAAGTTGACTCCCAGCTGGGCAGGAAGCCCACGCCAGGCTGGATCCTAGGACCTGAGCTAAAGGCAAACACTTAACCGATTGAGCCACCCAGGCATCCCAAAAATGTGCTACTTAAAATTTTTTTTTTTTAATTTGAGAGAAAGAGAGAGTGAGAGAGAGAATGAGAGGAGAGAAGGTCAGAGGGAGAAGCAGACTCCCCATGGAGCTGGGAGCCCAGTGTGGGACTCGATACCGGGACTCTGGGATCATGATCTGCACCGAAGGCAGTTGTTTAACCAACTGAGCCATCCAGGCAGCCCGCTACTTTTACAAAATTTTTATTTTTTAAGTAAATGCTACACCTAATGAGGGGTTCAGACGCACAATCCCGAGATCAAGAGTCGTATGCGCTATGGATTGAGCAAGCCAGATGCCCCTCAAAATGTGCTATTAATGTGTTTTCTTTTGAACCATACTGATTATGGTATTCTGTATTACTTTAGGAAAGAATCTGGGGCCAAATAAATTTTCTTAGCTGTAGTAAAAATGAAATAGACATATTAATGATTGGGGAAGAGCTACTGAAAACTTTGAGCAAACAGAGGACAACGTATTCAGGTAGAACCTCTTTATTCTTACAACACTAATTTATTGATTGCCTACTGTGTGTCGCTAATGCTCTAGTTGCTAGAGATACACTGGTGAAAAGGACTGACAAGATCCTGATGCTAAAAGAACTTAAACATTTAAACCTGAGTTTAAGATGAGTTTCCAGGTGGGCATTCCAGTCTGGGTAACTGCTTATCCAGAGTCATGAGTATCAGTCTTGACTGGTTAAGTGTGGCCAGTGCCTTGAGTTCACAAAGGGATAGGTTGTCAAGGTACCTTAGTCTGCTAAAGTGTTTTTTTTCCTTTTAGGGTAAAAAAGCTCAGGTGGAATATGAAGGATATGATAGGCATTCCTTTTGAAAAATTTTCTTCATCCTTATGTTCAATGAGTAGAAATGTTACTGGTTTAATTTTATTATTATTATTATTTAGAGATTTTATTCATTTATTTTGACACACAGAGAGAGAAATCACAAGTAGGCAGAGAGGCAGGCAGAGAGAGGGGGAAGCAGGCTCTCCGCCGAGCAGAGAGCCCGATGCAGGACTTGATCCCAGGACCCTGTGATCGTGACCCAAGCCGAAGGCAGAGGCCTAACCCACTGAGCCACCCAGGTGCCCCTATTATTATTATTTTAGAGTGAGCAAGCAAGTGAGTGAGTGAGTGGAGAGGAGCAGAGGGAGAAGAGGAGAGAGAATTTTAAGCAGGTTCTCTACTCACACTGAGTAGAGCTCAGTCCCAGGACCCTGAGATCATGACCTGAGCTGAAATCAAGAGCTAGACAATCAACTGAGCCATCCAGGTGCTCCACTGGTTTTCTTTTTTATTTTGGGTTTGATTCTTATTTGTCAGACTAATTTGATAGTTACTTTTCTTTAGGTTTTAAATTCCAGTTTTAAATATAAATTTGAGTGTTGTCATGAAACTTTTCTAAATCCTTTTAGGGTTTATCTTTTTTTTTAGGGTTTATCTTTAAATTGTACCTACCTTTCTTACTCTTTCGGGGCTCATGGTAGGGGAAATAAACAGTGTTTTCTGCTTCTGTGTGGGCAGCCTCTCAGCACAAGTGGGATTGATGTTCAGTCAGTTTTCACACTCAGCCTACAAGTCCTTGTAAAAGGAAGGAGCAGGGTGAAACTAAAAAGTATTTTATATTCCTTCTGTATTTCTGGGCTAAGGGAGGAAATGTGTGTTGTATATATTAAACATACTTTTCATAACACATTAGTAACAGATGATAATACTAAACGTGGTTTAAAAATAACAGAAAACCAGTATGACTCAGATTTGATGATTGTCTTGTTTAGGATTTGTGGCTTTATAGTGTTCATTTTAAGTTTTGTTTTTGTTCTCTCTCATGTC